GGGGCCCACCCAGCCTCCTATCCAAAGGGTACCGGTGGCTCTTTCCCCGGGTGTAAACCAGCCCGTGTGTGAAGCTGACCTCTCCCAACCATCTAGTGCGGAGGTCAAGAATGGTGATGCTATACCTCCACTCCTCCATATCTTCTGGACATAGTGACAAGGCGTCAATAAATCCAATCATCCAATCCAGAACCCGCTGTTATTAGTCACGCCCATAAATACGTGACAACTGTTGTCAGAAGTTTTTTTTTCTCGAAACCTTATAATTATTTTCGGACACCTGCAGTTGTCATCTCGCCGTAGCACAACTCGAGGGCGTTACACACTGGCTCCCAACTGCAGAGTCCCGAGATCAATCCCATGTGGATTCTTTAGTGGTCAGTGATGGGACGAAATGGTGCTAGAGAATATTTTTGTTCGCGTTTCTGTGGATTTCCTCCTCTACTCACCTTTCCGCTATTGTCCCATGCCCATCTACACCGTGCCCTAAGTTGTGCCATAAACACATCCTCGGTCTGGGAATTGAGGGCAGAATCTCTGACCCAGCTCCTGACTGGTCACAGAGTAAGGGAGTTAGGTTTATGTTATGCATTTTATTGGCTGTAACGAAGTAATTGTGACATACTGGCTGAAAGCAGACATAATAGCTCAGTGACGGCGTATCAGGTTTTCTATTGGACGGACGTGTGTTTAGGAAAAGTTAAGACTCTGTCAGTAGCTAGAGAAAGATGAATTGTAAAGGAAGGGGAAAGAAACGTTCATGGCCTAATCACGATAATATCCTTGCATTTGCCTGGAGAGACTTGAGTAAGATTCTGAAACAAATCAGGATAGTCGGTGTCCCAGTCGATATTTGAATCGAGTACCTCCCGAATAAATGTCTGAAGCATTACCACTGCGCTAACCCGCAAGGTAGCGGGTCTTTCTTCGAGTTTATGCGGGTTTACCCCTGCAAATCAGCATTCAACCATTGCTCCATTGCCATGACCACACTCCCAGGTGTGCGGTAGCCCTCTCCACGCAGCACATTATCACATCCTCGATCTCTAAAGTGGGATGGGGAGTCCGTCTTTGGTCCGGTACTTGGTTGGTGCTACACGCCGGTAGGTCGCGGGTTCGATTCCAAATGAAGTCGTATTCTTTCATCTGATCTAATCCTTCCAGCCGCACTATGGCCCTGAGGTCGACTCGGCCTATAACAGAAATGAGTACCAGGAATCTTCCTGGGGGTAAAGGGCGGCCGGCGCCTAAGGCTGACAACCTTACCACCATCTGTGAGCCGATTGTATAGAAAATGTGGGAGCGTCCACGTCTCACAACCCTATGGGCTTCCACGGCCTGTTACAGGGATAGCTTTACCTTTTTTACGTTTACGTAATGACGCACTAAGACAATGGGCTATGTTGTGACGGTCTTAATATAGAAGTTATATAATGGACTATGAGTTACGTCACTGAACTTGGAATTACGTCACTTGGCGAAGGGTCGCAACTCTTACTTGCTACAGCATGCGTGTCTTATGTGACGGAGGAAACAGAAGAAGGGTTCGCGCGGGAGTAACTACGTCATAAAAACAATATCCCTGATTTGGTGTTTCGTGGGACTACAAGCACGACGCATGGGAGGAGGAAGATACTAATCATGTCGAAGCTCTTTGTCCTTAACCCTTTAAAGGCTAAACACGTATGGGGGAGTGTAGATATAGTTCCACCATTTTTAGCCTCGGCAATAGACGAAGTTGAGTGGTCAGATTCACTTCCCGGCCGCTTTACCCCTCGGTACCCGTTGAATATGTGGTTTAGGTGGGCCCCGCAGCCGGGCTGGACACTGTGGAGAAGAGAAGTTACATGAAATAACACTCAGACAGTGAACCAAAGAATATCTTACACAGCAAGACTGACGGATCCTTCTAGTCGGTTGTTTGGCGACGTGTTTCAGTACGTAGAGAGGTAAGAATGATTAATGGATAATGAATTGGAAAAAAATAGTAAGGAATCGATTGTAGACTAAGGCATTCCTCTGGAGGGACTGAGGAAAGTCACGATAGCCACGGAGTCGGTATAGCGATGGGCTGTGAGCTGGATGGTCGGGGTGCGATTCCAGACAAGGGAAAGTGACTTTTCTCCACCCACACAGCGTCCAGACCCGTTCTAATTCCCATCTGGCCTTCTACATATTAGGTACCGGGTGAACTATAATCGGGGTTAAAGCGGCAGGGGCGTGAAACTGACCATTCACATCCATCTAGTGCCGAGGTCAAGAATATTGCAGTTTTACCTCCACTCTCCCATATGTCTTAATGGCGTGGTTAATTAATTAATTCCAAAGTTAACTTTACTTTCAGAGTTCCTGGCTACAGATCCAGAGGTCCGGGTTCGATTCCCGGCACTACAACATTTTTTTTCTGAGAAGTACTGGGTCTGGAACGGGGTTCACTCAGCCACGTGATTATAATTGAGGAGCTGTTTCAAGGAAATCGCGGCTCCGGTCTAGAAAACCGAAATTAACTTCCGTGGGGGTTCATTGCGCTGACCACGCGACACCCTCTATCCGCAAAAGTTGGCATTAAACTTTGTCGACAGGCGGCGGTCGCTCGGTCGGTATAGTTCGCTTGCGGACTAAAATCACTTTTCCTTTGACATGTTAGTAAGTGTCGTGGCTGGACTTCGAACAGACCGCCTCCCAGATACGAATGAAAAGCTGTATCGTTTGGTTGCCATGGTTACATACTATTGTGACGTGTTTCATATTGACAGAGTCTGGTGGTCTCATTCTGCAAGTGTGTGTAGTTCACACAGGAGCTTACACGGCCTTCGTCTTATTTCGAAATTACGAGTATAAAAGTTACTGTTAATGTTGAAGCATCTCCCGAAGAAAAGTCTGAAACGTTGCCTCTACACTAACCTGCGTGGTGCAGGGCTGTTCATTATGGCATCAAACAGTAATTAACTGGGCAACTAAGTACTTAAATCTCTAATTAAATTACTTAAGTAACTAATTGGTGAAACTGCCTCATTAAGTCTGGTGGAGCTTTATCGGCCATGCTATCTGCATCTTTGTGATCTAAGTGAGCCGGGATAGCTCAGTCAATATAGCTACAGGCTGGACGGTCGGGGTTCGATCCTTGGCATGGCATTAAGCTTTTTTATGTACTTTACAGCGTCGAGACCGACTCTGGGGCTCACCCAGCCTCCTATCCAATGGGCAGCGGGGGGAAAGGGGGGCGGCTTTTCCCAGAAGTGAACCTGGCTACTCACCTCCATCTAGTGCCGAGTTCAAGAATGGTGGAGCTATACCTCCACTCGCCCATACATATTCATGTTGTGATAATTAATTAAGAACAGGGACAATTGTACTTTTTTTTTTTTTTTCTTTTTACTTTATTAAGTAGATTTGTTTTTTCCTTATTTTCTTGGTGTGGGGTGAGACTGAGTCCACTTGGTACGTCGGCCACTGCTTGGCCTGTTGTACTAGCCCCGGATGTTAGATGTTGATGAATGTAGAGCAGTCGGTGGAATGAGAATTGGCAGGGGAAACCCCAATACTCACCTTCCGCAGTACCACTTTGTCCACCACAAATCCCACATGACCTGACCTGGACTAATCGCCTGTACTGTGACACGGCCCAATTAAATAGATTACTGGTTTCTGGGATGTGACGCCGTTTAATGTGGTAGATATGTAGGCCTATATTTCGGGAGGAACACGACAGAAGAGCACAATAGTTCCGTGAGAATCTCTGAAAGGACTTTTGATACAAAAAACGAATAACAGATGGCGTGACGAGTGATAAATAAAAGTTGGTGGTTGTAATCGTTAGAATTCCTACTTATTGCGAAAGTAGTGAATACCATTCGCGGCCTCATGAAGACAGGAAGGCATGAACTCTTCAGAAGTTTTCTTCCATCTTTCTCTGACATGTCATGCGGACTTAACTATAGAAGTAGACCATGTAAAATCCCTTCCTCGTCAATCTCAATCTTATCATTAATTTATCCTGCCATTTTTTCTCGCTGTATCAGCATACTTGTTCGTGTAATCCATGAATGGAGATAATTATACCAATCGAAATCAGCTTTCTCGTTGGTATTAACAAATGGTTAGGACACTTATCCCATCAATACGACAGAACGAGACATATGTCATCCTTTATAAAGGAACTGCTCTGTTGGCCTACCACCGAGATCTTGATTGATTAATGATCATGAAACTCGGAGCAGATTGGGCTGTAGATAACAATTTTGACTTACATTCGCTAGAGGATCGGTTGGGATATCAACCCTCGGACATCATCCATCGTGCTTGGGGTTTATCTTCGTTTTCCTCGGTACCTTCAGGCAATTTCCTAGGTAGAATTATCCGTTTCCTTTCGAATTAAACATTCACCATTAATCCTATCATTCGAAACTAGTATAGTTTCATCGTCATAAAACAATCGACAAAGGAACAGTCTTGTTTTATTTAAAATTACGTTTTGGAGAATGAACTCTGCCGCTCTCCTCGATAAACTATTTACTCAGTTGGGCCCAATCGATAGAGATGTCCATACCTTCGGACACCTGCACCAACACAAGGTATATACAAATAAACCTATCCCTGTAACAAGACTTGGAGGCCCATAGGATTGTGAGTTGTTGAGGCTTCCACATTCTCTAGACAGTCGACTCGAAGATGGCGGTGAGGTCAGCCTTACGCCCCGGCCGCCCTATACCTCCAGGAAGTTTCCTAATACTCATTTCTGTTAGAGGCTGAGTTGACTCCATGGCCAAAGTGCGGCTGGAAGGATTAGGTAAAATGAAATATCCAGTGACCTCATCGGGAATCGAGCCCGCGACCATCTGGTTTGTAGCATAGTGCCTCAATCAACTACGCTGACTTTCCCCAAATATGACAGAGATATAAGGGGGTAGGTCTAGTTGCTGTAAGGAAACCCTCGTGATTTATGTGCATTTTTATTGAAATGCAGTTGTTGCTTATTGGAGACGCGTTACATGAATGCATTATGCAGACTGATGTCTTCGGTAGGCCAGTTGATTGGTCGACACATCTTGATGGTCGGCATGTGCAACTATGATTGGAGACTCTGGTTCCATTTTGAACGTTCTATCGAAATTGTGATGATGGGTTGGCCACGTAGAATGCACAATCTGAGGAGGCTGTGCATAATGACTGTCCCCACCGCTGATAGCTGTAAATAAAAATATGAAATTGATGTTCTTCCAACAAACAATAAACATTAATCTATAATAAGAGACAGTGAAGTATGTTATGTTGGTATCAAACCCTTTTAATTTTCACTTACTTTCACAGATGGCAGTTTTGCGTTAAAAATTGCACCATCTGTAGGACAAAGTTGTAAGTGTTGTTCGCTATTATAACGGCGAAAGGAGGTAATGAGATAAAGGTATCAAAGGGATAACGGAGATGAAGAATATGGGTGAGGGTATAGATATAGAAGAAATGATTTCCCCTTAATTTCCATCGGGTTTCCGCAACATTTACGTCTAATTTGTCAGTCCGACTTCACGTTGCTTTACTTCCGGGGGAAGGATTTGTTTTGCGATGCTTTCAACATGCAGACTGTATAGTTTCGATTGGCAGGATGATTAATCAATTGGAAATGTTTGGGAGGAAGCATTCGTGCCCATACGACAGGTACTGTCAGAGTCTGCCTGCAGAAACTGAGGAAAACCACATAAAACCTCGGTTTTCATAACCGATGTCCAGGTCGAGATTCGAACCGAGTACACCCCAATGTAAGAACATACGGTTGAATGAGATAGACACGTTGCGAAATCAGGGAAAGAAGAAATTAATGCGGAATTGGAATTGGGCCACTTTGAAGGCAGATAAGTGTGAATATTCTCACAATTTCAACATTCTGTCTCTCTTGTATGTAAATTTGCTAATAGCGTTCTGAGGCTGTCTGCCTGCCATGCTGAAATAAAAGTTGACGTCGACAGTCACTTCCATTCACCGACATTAGCGCCGTAACCGTAACTTATGTTGAGAAGTTGATTCCAGTCTGCCGCAGGGAGCGCTAGTTGAAGTGATATCGCTGTGGCATCTTGCAGCAAGTGTAAGAACTAAAACAGTAGGTATGCGACACGGAATTTGTCGGAAGGCAGATACGTTGCTATGGAAGTAGTAGTAATAATAATAATAATAATAATAATAATAATAATAATAATAATAATAATAATAATAGCCGGGATATCTCAGTCGGTGTAACGACTGACAACGGGCTGGATGACCGGGTTTCGATTCCCGGAAGGTTGAAGATATTTTTCTCTACTTAGCGTCCAGATTCTCTCTGGTGCCCTCCCAGCCTCCTATGCGGTGGATATCGAAGGTCTTCTCATTGAGGGTAAAGCGGTCGGAACGTAAAGCTGACCACTTACTGGCATCTATTACCTAGGTTAATTGCGTGGAGCTATAGCTCTACTTCTCCATACGTTTTCATGTCGTGGTGTTTAATTAATTAAGTAAACGGACAATTTTACCTTGCTGTACGTCTATGCCGATCACCTCTGTGGTCAAGTGGTCAGAGTTCCTGGTTACAAATCCAGAGGTTCCGGGTTCGATTCCCGGCGCTACCAGATTTTCTGAGTAGTAGTGTGTCTGGAACGGGGTCCACTCAGCCTCGTGAGGATATCTGAGGAGCTATTTCAAGGAAATAGCGGCTCCGGTCTAGAAAACCGAGATTAACGGCCGTGGGGATCCGTTGCGCTGATCACGTGACACTCTCTAACTGTAAAAGTTGGCACTAACTTCGCCTACAAGCGGCGGTCGCTCGGTCGGTATAGTTCGCTTGCGGACTACTGGCCACGGAATTTTTTGTTTGTCTTGTACGTCTAGGCCCACTGGGGAGGAGTCAACGAATGAGACCACTTAGGAGACTTAGAAGTAAACTACAGGATAATTTTGAAATTGGTGTTTGTGTGTGTGTGGAACTGATTAAATTGGCTCAGGTTGTGCGTTCAGTGTCGAACTTTTATGAAGACAATTAGCATTTGTGTTCTGTAAAACAATTAATTTCTAGACCAGATGGGCGACTGCGACCTACGAGAATGAGCCTACACCATGAAGCTAGTTACTGAGTGAAAGAATAGAAATAGTGACCTGATAAATCTGAAAAATGGCAACGGGTATAGGAGAAGCAATAGAAACGTTGCCTGTTACAGGTTCCTAATGCCTAAATCCTGCGTTTGATATTGGTCCGAATACATTGTTTCCGTGTAATGTGTAATACTGCTAATTTAAAATATGGAGGTCCCGTGTTCAGATCTCATGTACCTTGACTGAGGCATTTCTTGGTCTTCCTCGGTTTCTCCAAGCATATGCCTGGATAGTACCTTAAAGTAGACCACGGACACTTCTTTCCACATGTCTGCAGCTTAGATCATATGATGCTTCATTAAATAATCCATACGTGAATAAATAATCCACGATTTCGCCGTTACGAGGTCGAAATCGACGCTTTTAACAATGTTTATACCACAGAATTTTCTGGGAACATTTTCGTAACAAGCTAAATGTTTACGTTGAGGAATTCCGAGCCCCACGCCTCCTCCATCCGCAACCTGAGGACGCGCCATTCCGTGGTTACAAGGACCCACCTAACATTAAAGGAGGAATATAGACTGAGGGTGTTTGAAAACAGGGTTCTGAGGAGAATATTTGGACCGAAGAGAGATGAAGTGACAGGAGGTTGGAGAAAACTGCATAATGAGGAGCTTCATAACTTGTACTCTTCTCCAAGCATAATTACAACGATCTCATCAAGGAAGATGAGATGGACAGGGCGTGTAGCACGAATGGGGGAGAAGAGGAATGCATATAGGATATTGGTGAGAAAGCCAGATAGAAAGAGACCACTGGGAAGACCAAGGCGTAGGTGGGTGGACAGTATTAAAATGGATCTTAGAGAGACAGGATGGAATGGTATGGATTGGATTGATCTGGCTCAGGATAGGTATCGTTGGAGGGCTCTTGTGAACACAGTAATGAACCTTCGGGTTCCATAAAATGCTGGTAAGTTCTTGAGTAGCTGTACAACTGGCGGATTCTCAAGAAGGCCTCAGCTCCATGAGTGAGTGAAACAGAGAATTATTCAGTTTGATTAATTTCTTATTTTCATGATTCTGGTGTACACAATGGATAGTCTGTTATAAATGATGCTATTATAGGTCTAAGGCATGTACTGTCTTCGCTCGTTTGAAAACCGGAATCGTGGGTTCGAATCCCACTCAGGGCATGGATGTTTAGTTTGTGTGTGTGCGTTTTTCTGTGTCTGTGTACAGGTAGAGGCCTTGCGACGAGCTGATTACCCGCCCAAGGAGTCCTACCGAATGTGTAAGATCTAGAAAAACCGAAGTGAACTGAGAAGTTCATGGAGGTAGGCCTAGGCCCACTGGGGCTGTAGTGCCAAGGAAAAAAATTATTGGTCTAAGTTTAGAATTCAGTAAATACTTCGTCTGTTTCTATGACGTCCGTAATCAACGCCAAATTTGTGTTTAACATGTGGAGAAAATTTATCTACGACAATTCTTATTATCTTCCACAATGAAAGTTTCAATAATCTCGGGTTAATCTACTGTCTCCATCTTCAGTAAAAATATGGAGGCAGCAGGTTCCTCCGAAACGCCTACATGACAAGCGATTAGGCTGGAGATTCAGTTTCCTGCAGGAGTAACAGAGTATTCTCTTTGTAGTGTCCAGACCGGTCCTGAGGCCCACCCAGTGTCCTGTAAATCGGATACCAGGGTTAAACCTGCCGGGTCGTGAAGCTTGCCACTCACCTCCATCTAATTCTGTGGTTAAGAAGAGTGGAGCTATATTGCCGCTACCCCATACGTCTTTATGGCGTGGTGGCTAATTAATTAATCCTAGGGATAAGTGCCTTTACGCGACGTCACATCGCAGAAGACAACGAAAACCCGCACATCTCACGTACCTTTAACAATGTTCTTGATCCCCAGGATTGCCGCCAGCCCCAGGGCCAGCAGACTGATCGTCACAGCTTTCCAGGACTGCACCATCGACAGAGCGACCACCGCCGGAAGAACCAGTCCCAGTGTTACCATCTTCAGCCACAGAATCATTTTGATGAAGGTCCTCTTGAGTTTCATCTTGCGGCCTGCAAATTTTATTGTCTGATAGAAGCAGGGTGATTGGCAGTGATAGTCACGGTTCGTGCCCCGAACTGAGCACTGGACAGATAATTTAACCACGGAGAATGAGACGGTGGCACGCAAGGGGAGGGTTTCAGTTACTTGCACAGTTATGCCTGGAAAATCCGAACGAAACTTTACTCGGGGAAAAAAATCTAAGATGTAATGAGATGATATTATTAAAACGGACCTTAGAAAAAAATTAGTAGCTCAACGCCGGGCTGTTCTAAAGACTGTATAATTTAAATTTGGGTTGAATAATGTCAAGGAATTTCTTTATTGCCTTTTTAAGAATCGGACGGTTTGTTTTCGTGGTAACACCCTAGACTTATATTCGGGATGTGCTGGGTTCGAATCTCGACCCGAACACCGACCATCCTAACTGAGACTTTCGCAGTCTTCCTCCGTCTGTCTATCTATCTATCTATGGCTCTACAGTCCTTTGTTGGACTTTGGCCGATTTTTCAGCTTCTTAATCCTACACACAGTCATTAGGACCCCTGGGACGGGGGATCAGCCCGTCGCAATACTGCTACGTATACACAGAACGACACAAACGCAGAGTAAACGCACACAGGCATCCATGACTTGAGTGGGATTCGAACCCACGATCCCAGTGTTCGAGCAGGCAAAGACGGTTCATGCCATAGACCACCCGGCCACTCTGATCGGCAGGCAAATTCCGGGGTAGTGGGCCACTTGGGTGAGACTACGATGGATTCCTCGCATATCGTTTTCCAGTTTAACGTAGGCCAGTGATTTTACAATTCGGCGCTGTATAGTCTCAGATACTGGCAGCGCCGTGGAATGGTCCTCAGAGAAATCTCTTCAAGGAAGTCCTTTGTTGCGTGGCGCTAACAGAATGTCGTCATGACGAAACAAACTGAAGGATTTTCATGAAACTTTATGTTAATGTTATGTCATTATAGGCGAAACCAATTTACCCTACATTTTTCGATTACACATATGTACGTAGTAACAACAGCTCAAATGTGGCAGCCAAAATTTTTTTTCTCAAGTGAAAATTGCTGACATCTTAATAGCGTAAACATGCCAGATTTCTCGACAACGTTTATTTCTTGGTACAACACTTGAAATTTGCAATGGAATTAATGTCATACAGCCTGTTCTAACGTCTTGAAGCAATTTATATAGAACTAAAAAAAGATTTAGAAAGGATGCCTAATTTCATGGCAAAATTACGGAGTCGTGCCAGGAAGTGAGGTACAGGTATGTCACAAAACTGACTAGCGTAATACTAGTACAGGCTGAATGCCTGAAATGTTTGAAATTTATAAGGCTCTTTAAGGGGAGTATTTTTACTGTGTGGAAGACAAGAAGACGGTGACCGCGTGAATGTGTTAATTGCGAGTAGGTTGCGGTTTGCTGGCAATAACTGATGATTCAAGACTAAAATACGCTCCTTTTCGTGTGTTAGTGTCGATATATAGTGTTCGTGATTAACGGTGCAAGTGAAAGTGTTATAAGTGTCCTCAGTGGATGTTATCAACGACTACAAGGAATTCGAATGTGGGATCAGCCAAGAGGACCGACGCTGAACCGGTGAGTGTAACTGAATACAGTATTACTGAGTGTTTTGTGGCAGGCTTAGAATTGATATGATGCATTCATATGACAGGCCTAATTATAAACGGAAAAGGTCATAGGTCGTGTCTAACCGAACCTCCTTTCCTTTTTTTTCCCCCCCTTGGCACTACAGCCCCAGTGGGCCTAGGCCTACCTCCATGAACTTCTCCGTTCACTTCGGTTTTTCTAGATCTTACACATTCGGTAGGACCCCTTGGGCGGGTGATCCCTCCTTTTCTTACCTGAAGGGATTCAAGTTATTCTCATTTGTTGATTCTAACATTTTCGGGTAACATCGACACACAGTATTTCGTAATAATTACTTTACTTAAAGAATATAATGAATACGTAAAGGACAAAATTTAATTTAATTTAATTTAAATTCCACAAAGAGAAAATTGGGAAATTTATCAATGTACGATATCCTTGTCCCACAAAACGTGTACCGGTAGGTGTTTTAATTCGAAACTTCAAATGTAATTAGTAATATAAGTCTTGTAGAATGTTGAATTATCAGGATTTTGATTTTTTCAATTCATTTATGCTTATTAAAAATGTATGTTTAATTTAAACTGTCTTATATGGACAAAAATAAAAAAACCTTCCTGATATAGCGTCGTTTCTCAAATATTATAGAAACGTATTAATTTATAGTATCATAATTATAAAAGAACTTACTTTACTGTAAATCTCATTTACAAGTCTGTAATACAATCGCTACTCGTTAGGCTATTTTTCATAGCGTAGTGATTGAGGGGCTATGCTACAAGCCGGAAGGTCGCGGGTTCAAGTCCCGGTGAGGTAATTTAATTTTTTTCAATTGACCTAATCCTTCCAGCCGCACTATGGCCCTGGGGTCGACTCAGCCTCTAACAGAAATGAGTATCAGGAATTAATTAAATAATTTTCTTGGGAAGTAAAGCGCGGCCGGCGCGTAAGGCTGACAACCTCACCGCCATCTTTGAGCCGATTGTCTAGATAATGTGGGAGCCTCGACGTCTCACTACCCTATGGGCCTTCACGGCCTGTTACAGGGATAGCTTTACTTTACTTACTTTACTTGCTTATAATTTCACTAGTCATCCTGATAGGTCTATACACGTATTTAGCCAGCAGAGAGCCTGGTCTTTGCAGTAAGCATCCCGGAACAGTTGTGTCGAACATTCGTATTCATACAAGCGATGTATATAGACCTGTGTTCTGAATCACTCAGACTAAGCACAGCTGAAGAGTAGTCAAGACAGGTTATGTGTCTTTAAACCCAATAAAAGCTAAAGTTGTCCCTGTGCTTAACTAATTAAGCACTACGCCATGAAGGCGTATGGGGTAGCGGATGTATAGATCATATTTTCTTGACCTCGGCATGAGATGGAGGCGATTGGTGAGCTTCACTTCCCGGCCGCTTTACCCCCGGGGAAAGAGCCCCAGCTACCTATTGGATAGAATTCATTAAACCCAATACAGAATAAAATATAATTTAAGCTAGTGTATAAAGTAGTCTGACCGCCTCTGTGGTCTAATGGTCAGAGTTCCTGGCTACAGATCCAGAGGTCCGGCTTCGATTTCCGACGCTACAATATTTTCTGAGAAGTAGTGGGTCTGGAACGGGGTCCACTCAGCCTCGTGAGGATAATTGAGGAGCTATTTCAAGGAAATAGCGGCTCCGGTCAAAAAACCGAGATTAACGGCCGTGGAGAACCGTTGCGTTGACCACGTTACACCCTCTATCCGCTAAAGTTGACTAACTTCGCCGACAAGCGGCAGTCGCTCGGTGGGTATAGTTCCTCTTGCGAACTACAGGCCACGGAGTTCTTTTTATGTGAAATAGTCTATCAGTGGTTAAGAAACACAACACACAGCTAACACCAATCACTAGCTCTATCTAAAGGACCCAACTGAGTAGGTGTGTCCCCCTCACCTGAGGACAGAAACAGACCAAGTTGCCGAGACGTTGCCTTTTCTAGTTTCTAGAATACAGGGCGATGGACAAAGTCCAAAAACCCAGTAATTCTGAATGTTATACATAATCGTCAGAAACGTTTTAGAATCCACCCGAAGTTCACTGCTGTGTTCACACGACTCCAACTGTCTTTTATTATTAACAGTGTAGTATATTGGCTGAAATAGGCCACGCCATAGCTCAAGCGGTTAGTCTCTGGTTTCCCACTGCAGCTGCCCGGGTTTCAGCCCGGGCCTGGTCAAGTGGGAGTTATGGTGGACAAAGTGGCGCTGGGGCAGTTTTTGTCGAGTACTTCGGTTTCCCCCTGCCAATCTTCATTCCACCAAATTCTTCATCATCATAATCACCCGGGGCAGGTACAATAGGCCAATCAGTGGACCCACCTGGAATCCACCCCCCCCCACTATTCGAATTAAAAAAATTACTTTCCATACAGTACGGACAATTCTTCGTCAGATGAGGCACCGACTTCACAATTAATTAATTTACAACATCATTTGCCTCCTATACAATCTTATATAAATGAAATATCGAACTTCCAATTGGTCCATAGAAACGTATGAAAACTAAAAATCAACGACCGATTCGATGCTGTATAACATCAATTAAGTTTTATCTTGTTTTATACAATAACTTTCAGTTTTTTTATATAATCTGACTTATTGTATTTTTACACAAAGTATTTTAACATTGTATCCAATGCTGCAGTACTGCAGTTCAGTAGTATATGTTTGTTAATATGTGTTTGCCTGATGATGGCCGTTAGTGGCCGAAACATGTAGCGAAGCCATAGCTGGGTGCTGACCCTGATTTTTTTCTATTTGTTGTGTTTTGACGGTCAATAAAAGAGTTGTATAAAAATTATTGGCTAAAATAATATTATAACATGACTATGTGTAGTTTCACCTTCTTCGTTTGTAATTCTGTCGTCTTGTAAAGATTTTCTTCCTGTCAAGTCCCTGTTTTCGTGTTGCACCGTTAAATAAGCTCGATCCTCGTCCTCGCCGCGCAAATGTACACTCCCCAAACGCGACGAACGTGCAGTCGTAATAAATCGATCGATCCAATAAGGATGTAAATTGTGATCAGAATTCGTGTTTCGTATCAGGTAACGTTTCATTGCTTCCAAAATCTTCGAAGGAATCCCACCGAATTGGTTTTCTTGATACTGCACATCACCTAACAGGCTCTTAGCTGATGATATTGAACCGCATATCACCAAAATAATCACCACACGTAATGCACACTCCATTCTCTTAACTACTGAATTCTCTTCGCAAAATAAAGTCAATATATACGCCGGGAGATCTTTTATAAATTCTAACTCAACTGATTTGCATAATTACATAGATCATACCTAGTATTAAGGGTCATATGGCTCTATATAAGAAGACATGCTGACAAGCATGTGTTTAGTTCTTTTGTCTTTCGTGACCTTAAAGTAGCACCATGTTATAAGTTGTGCATAGGATTTGGCGATAATGACGTCTCTTACACTGTCGTCACCACTAGCAGGGGGTCTTACGGGCGTAAGTGGCTTAAAGAACATTTCCGTCGAAACGCATACTTATTTAGAATTCTATGGTAAACAGTGGAGTGCATAAAAGCTGCAAGTAAAAGGTAAAGGTAAATTTGTCCCTGTGCTTAACTAATTAATCACTACTCCATGAAGGCGTATGGGGGAACGGATCTATAGAACCACATTTTCTTGACCTCGGCACTAGTTGGAGTTGAGTGGTCAGCTTCGCGCCCCGGCCACTTTACCCCCGGTAGCAATTGTATAGGAGGTTGGGTGGACCCCAGAGCCGGTCTGGACGACGTGGAGAAGATTTCTTGCTCCTACAGGGACTCGAAGTCTGACCCCTTGGTCGTCCAGCTCGTAGCCAGTCGCTATACCGACTGCGCTGTCCAATAACAATAAAACAAATAATACACGAAACTGAAGAATGTTATCGTCTATAATGCGACGCATTGTATTCCGGTATATGTTCGCCTGTGTACCCTTCGAAACGTCGATAAACTGCTAATAAACATCACGGCGTCACACCCTGGAATAGTTCTGTTCATAGGCTGCAATACGCGAACCTGGAATCTGATAATGAGCTTTATTAATTAACCATTTCGATATTATGATCGAGATATCTCGCTCAGAAGTACAAGCCTTTTATGTTCACAATATGCTCGGTGTTTAACAATGTCAGCGAAAGAATTACATCTTCCTGGTCGCTGTTGATTTAAATTCTTTGATGCGTTTCATTGGTGTTTTCACAATTATGAAAATTCTTATTGTTGCCTTCTCAGTTGACATCGTGTAGTCTGGTAGGATATATCTTCAAGTTCCGCCAAAACGTTGTTACCCACCTACCAGAATACAGATGATTACACCCTGAGGATGGAAGTAGTATATGCCTCGGAATGGTTAGTACTCACCTAGCGCACTGCACATTGCCATAACCCAGAAGACAACACTCTGAAGATGGAGGCTGTATGTTCTTCACACATGTTTGTATCCACGTACCAGAATACATGGTGATATAACCTGAAGTCGATGTCCTGATGATGGAGGTAATATTTTCATCCGAAACATTGGTACCCACCTAACAGTACACGGTGTCATGGCTCTGAAGGTCACAGTATGAACATTATTGCTTTTGTTTATTTTACGATGATAGGATGATTGATGAATTGGAAAGGATTTAGAAGGCAGCGGTATTAGCTTAATCCACGTACTTGTATTTGCCTGGCAGTTCTGAAGAAAACCACGAAAACATCAGAATAGCTGGTGTTCCGGTCAAGATTCGAACCGAGTGCCTACAAACTACCCTGTTCGGTACAGCGTGGAAGATTGAGTTTTTTTTTGTGGTTTCTTCAGGTCCCTAGGCAAATACAGGGACGGTAGGCTATTTTGAAACTGGCCACGACCACTTCCTTCCACATCCTTTCCAATTCATTATGCACTGGTACGAAATCTTTCGGCGCTGTATAATATGTCGTTAAATAAAATATAGATGCAGATAAGTATCAACTGCACTGCCAACTTTGGGTCATTTTTTCGCGACCCATTTTTTATTCGGCTGTGCGTTGTGTCGCTGTTAACTTCACTCCTCTCTGGCATTTCTTTTTGTTAACTTAGTTAATAACGTACATTTACCGTTGCTGTTAATATTGCATCTGATCATTAATTCAGGCATAGTTACTGTTGACAACCAATTACATTTTCTTAACTGGGAACGAGCATATTTCCTAGTCATGTTCCAATGTTGCGTTACTGCATGCAGACCTCCGTCTCAATTAATGCCTTGGATGTTATTTAAAATTCCTCGAGTTACAGAAGCCGATCACAGTGGCCGCGCGGTCTAAAGCATGAAATGTCTTCGCTCGCTCGAACACTGGGATCGTGGGTTCGAATGTCACTCGAGGCATGGATATATGTTCTCTTTTATTCTATGTAGGTAGTGGGTCTGGAACGGGGTCCACTCAGCCTCGTGAGGCTAAACGAGGAGCTATTTCAAGGAAATAGCGGCTCTGGTCTAGAAAACCGAAATTAATGGCCGTGGGGATCCGTTGTGCTGACCCCGCGACACCCTCTATCCGCTAACGCTGGCATTAATTTCGCCGACAAGCGGCCGTCGCTGGGTCGATATAGTTTGCTTGCGGACTACAGGCCACGGAGTTCGCTTTTTATATAGGTAGCAGCCTTGTGACAGGAATGATCCCCCGTCCAAGAAGTCGGATGTTTAGCGGAGACATAATGTGTTTCCTATCGGGTGCGAAGTGAACTCTGGTGGAAGTAATTCAGTCTTCATGAGTTAAGTTAGTTGAGTGATACGTGGTCTGAAGGCTCCCAGAGCCGTCACAGAGTAAAATATGGTCAGGAACATCCTGAAACTCGGAGCCAAGAATTGCTGTGCTGGCGATTATGATTATCCGATAAATTGATTTACTAATCCAAACCCCCTCTACGAGTCATTGATACACGTGACAATATTGTTGCTGGACCGTACAGTCTGATAGTGACCTACAGCAGTGTACAGAATTACACGTTTCTCTGATCTGTAGAGATTGGGGAGGGGGGAATTTGTCTATTATTTTAGGGGTTGCGGTATTATAAAATTTTGGAACCCCTGGGTTTACACGAGGATATTGTAGTAGCTCGTTATGTCTGCTGATTGTGGTAGTAATGAAGTGCGTCTAGGTGTGCTTCGAGCTGAATGACACAGAACTGAAGCAGGTTTTATGGAGTAAGATTTGGCTGCCACAAGTTCAGACACTGGATAAAATGACTAGGGAAAGGGAGGGGAGACACGTGAGGGAAGAAAAAGGTAACGAGATTGTACAGTCTTTATTCAACAGAGAATCAAATATACAACAAAAATAATGCTTTATATGTATGTAATTTATTTTGAACTAATTAGTACAGATGGAATAAAACATTATGTATTATTAAATTGTATAAGCTATATCACTTTTGAAGAACTGATAAGTGTTATATGGCTTCAGTACATATGGTGTACATATCAGATCTACATTTCTTTTAATAATAATAAAAATAAATGTGATACAACGGCATAAGTGTTTAAATTAAATTACGAACTTATTATATGGGACAACAAAGTATCTTAAGAAGCTGATATGATTATTATTATTATTTAAGACTGTTTTTTATTTTTTATAAATTAATAGTCCTAAGATAATCGTTATAATATTTATGTCGGTTTAGTTTTATGATTGTCTTATACCTTATTATTTAACTTGGTATTTTTTTCTGTCGGTGTTGAAGTATGTAAAGTTATTTGTACGTCAAAGAACTTTGCGTCAAACAGTTATTTCATTTTAATATTATCTTCAGATAAAGAACGTTGTCTGTGTTTATTATATTTCCTTAAGTTTTTCTTCCTGTTATAACAATGTCATAATGTTCCTCTTGAGTCGCACAGTCAGTTTGATAAGTTAAGAACAATATTCTGTTTATAATTAAGTCTGTCTTGAAGAAGCTTGACATTCATTCTTGAGTTAATGCGTCGTATATTACCGTCTTGACGTGGTCTAGATTTGTGTGTTTATGTCCTTGCGAGTTATGTTTGTGAGAGCTTAGGCTTCTGGTAGGGTCATGCATGCCAATTATGTCATAATATAGGGGTCATATAAGCCATAGTGCCAGGTTTTGAGATTTGGGATTTAGGGGCCAAGTTACATTAAACGTCTAAGAGAGTGCCTGTGATGCATAACTTTACTGGATTGAATTGAATGATGGGATTGAGTGGTAGACATTTCTATTTCGTATTCAGGAGATCCTTGGTTCAGATCTCGGTCTGACTGAAGGTTATTATGAAATTTCTTCCTGGTTTTTCTCAGTACTTGATGGTAGATTCTGAGATAGTAGGACACGACTGTCTCCTTCTACTTCTCAATTCATTAGTCACGATTCATCTTATCATTCGACGTTGCGTAAGTTATGCAACTGAAAAGGCGTCTTTAAATAAATCAGGAATTCATCTTGGTAAAGGCTAGGCAGAGAAAAGAAGAGGAATTAGAATTTTATGTTTAATTCCGTATAATTTTTTTTTGTTTTACATTTCCTGAATTTATTTTGGTTCCTCGATAAAAAAAAAGTCCGGTATAGAAACCCGAGATTAACGGCCTTGGGGATCCATTGCACTGACCAGGCGACACTCTATCCGCAAAAGTTGGCACTAACTTCTCCGGTCGCTAGGTCGGCATAGTTAGATTGCGGACTAAAGGCCACGGAGTTCCTCGATAAAGCGCATTTTAGACGAAGATCTCCTCTCAAATTCTTCCAGGCCACCTGGTTCTGATCTTTTGCCCTCTTTCTGTCAATTACGTTCCCTAATAGTCTGTCGGTTTGAGTCACGTCACTCGTAAAGCTTTTACACGTCTGTACGTAATGTATCCTGCGCACGTTCACTTCCGTAACAAGTCAGATTCAGCATCAAAGTATTAGTTACGTATCCAGTTCTGTTTTCTTGTGTTTTAAAGTAACTCATCATACAGTATTACTTCAACAAAACATTTTTACACTACATAATGACACAGTGTATGTTTCAAATGATATTGATTACGTCAAAGACACGCTTTTTAATGATTTAAAACACCATCCATATATTGATTATGTTTCCAGAAATGATCTCTGTGTCGCGCGTGAAGACTACGATAATTTGCGGGGCAGTGGTTGCCCTACATCTTACAAACCTTGTCTCAATAATTGGATTCGACCAAATCCACAGCTCATTCTGTTGATAACGGCCAGATCTAAAAGCACATTAGTAATGCTGTGTAGTATACATGTGATTTTGACAGTGTAGATCACGAAAACTTTTTTTAAGAGAGGAAGGGAGTTTTTCTAACAGGTAGCCAACTGGCGGTGTGATATTTGGAGAGTGAAACAGATACAGTTAATTATATCTGGAAATGAAATACTACATGGTTACACAGTCTTACATCAAGACCCGTACCTTACGAACGGAAAACATATTCCAAAATAAAAGCCTTTCGAGACACATTGGTTTCATTTTCACCGCCACTTGACTTATCAGTGAACACAGGTAAAAAAAAATTGTTCAAGTTGCTACATAGAAAAGCGCATATCCTGTGCACGTGAATTTAGAGATTTGCAGTCAACTTTCGGTCTACTTTGTATTGCGCTGTACCGCATGCCGAAGCTGCTTACGGCTAGTATCAAGACTTTACAAACCTTGAGCTCCACTAACACACAAGTGATATATTATTTAAAACTCTTTCATTTAAAATAGTATGTACATTAAGTCTGTCGCTTTTCATTAACTGTCGATTTTGTTCATGAAGTTCCTGTATTTTAAAATAAAGTATTTACATATCTATGGAAAAAAAAAATATATATATTTATAGATACCTCATGATGCATAATTAACTGTTTCCATGTTACGAATAAAATATACGTGATTCTGAAATTGATCCGTTTTTCTTATTTATCTGTGATGTGTAGAAATATCAGTGAAATGAAACATGTCCTGCCATCTGTTGGAATATTAGACTAAATGTTTACTGTGTCACGCGAATTGAATTTACCGATGTATAAAAGATAATGTTTTGTTGAGGTTCTAAACATGGGAAAAAATAGTAAGGAATATATTATCATCCTGTTTAATATTCGTAAAATTTATGTGTACTCTGAGACATGCAGAATACAGTTTAGAATGGACGTATGTTGGTTTTAAATAACTATATTCAGTGTACATACGTACGAGAAACTACAATTTGAGTGGAAGTAATTGGTACGTTATACTTCACGTTTTTGTTGGAAAACGCTAATTTAAAAATGGGGTTTTACGTTTAGTAGGATCCACTGTTTCAAGAGCCAAAGCTTGAGGCAAAAGTGTTCTATCTTCCCTGTAAACTGGACTTTTATTGTAAAGTGTTTTGATTAAAAACACAAATATTTATTTCCATAACACGAAAAACACATATTTGATAATATAATATGTTAGTTGGAACTTAATCAGTCCAGGTACACCCGAGACTTACTTGCCACATAGTGCGAATACAGATAAATATAAAGACCACTTTTTTATTTCCATAGAATCATTATTAGATATTGTGATTAAATTCCTGGCCGGATAACATTAATCATTAATATTACTATTATGATCTTATTTTGTTACTTTAACAAGAGAAAGAAATATAAGCACATAAGTAAGTAAGGCACAGACTAAGCACTTAGGACGTTATTCTCGTCTGCAAAGCTTTACTCGGGAGGTGCTATCACCTTGAATCTATGTGCGAGGAAATAGGGTATTTACCTAAGAACAGAAGTCACAGATATGTAAAAAATTGCCAACATCCAAATAATCATGCATATTTATATTCTGAAGAAAGAATATTAATTTAGTGTGAAACTGTCATTTCTGCTTATTCCATTTGTATGTTTGATATGTCTTTATTGTCTGCGTCTCATCCTACGTTCAGTTGTGTTATTTGTTTGTGTTCACAAGAGCCATATATTCGTCATCTAACGTCTGTATATATTATAAGAGTTTGTTAGTCATGATGCGATACAAACAGAAGGAGCTTTGTTATATTACACAATTATGATCCTCTTAAATACTTTGTATCAGAAACTAAGAAGATAATTGATATATTTTAATATTGTAATTCATTTTAAAATAAATTAAATGTAATAGTTCATATAAATTGTTATGAACGTTATTTAAAATTCATAAATATGAAGTCATAAATTACTTATTTATATACTCCTGCAGTGTTAATAATATAATTCAACCTGCGTGTAATATTATGAATTATCCCATGATATTCGCTAGCTCTGCTGTCTCAACGTAGCAGATTGGGTCAATGAGCTGTGACCCACATCGCCTCCTTGCGTCGCATAAGCACTGTAAGCGATTTCATGGGAGTCAGACTTCTTCTGGCGAATGGCATCACCCTGTATAGCTCTGTGATGAATACCTTCAGAGGTCTCGTCCCCGAAAGTCAAGCCAGGCTGCAGATTAAAGCTCCGGCCATACGATGAGTGGCCATATCCACCGCCGCCGCCGCCGCCTCCGTGCCCACCTCCCAAATGCTCGTGGTGCAATTCGTGTGAGTGTGAGTGCGAGTGGGAATACACAGGCTTCTGGACGATCTCATATGTCACGGCTTGCTTGCCCCCGTGATGGGTGAGGGATTTGAGTCCTATGATGGCGGACAGCATCAGGGAGAGTAGACCAGTCATCAGGGCCTTGCCTGCCAGCCCTGCCAGTGCTGCGAACGCAATTGGCACTAACGTACCTTTCATCAACAGTGCTGCCAACAACAGCTGGCCCATACCTTGCCTCTTGCCTCCACCACCGCCCCCACCGCCGCCTCCAAGACCGCCGCCGCCACCGCCGCCTCCTGCACGACCTGTGGATAAGAGAAAACTTTGGTTTATCTTTATACAGTCACGCCCGTCTGTTGCAGGCATCAAGATGTTTATTTCACGACGCTGTCTGTTTCTCAGAGCATACAGTGTCATGATGGGATGGCTGATGAATAGTGAACTGGAAAAGATTTGGAAGGAATCGATCGTGGCTTCATACGGATACTTTTCCGGAACCACATAAAACCTCGTTCAGAATAGCTAGCGTCTGAGCAGAGATTCGAATCTGGCACCTCCCAGCAAGTCTTCAGCGTTACCGCTACGCTGACCTGCTTGGTTTGTCGAGTGCTGTTACTTGGTACTAGGACGGAGCTATTTCGCAGTGACCGCACCAGAGACATCTGGGAGGGGAGAGGGTAATTCTCTCAGCTGTCACTCATTCGAACCGGAAGAAAATGTTTTATGGATATACCGAAGTACATGAAATTCCACTGAGAGCACTATGCTACAAGCCGGAAGGTCGCGGGTTCGATTCCCGATGAAGTCATTAGATTCGTTTTCAATTGACCTAATCCTTCTAGCCGCGCTGTGTCCCTGGGGTCGACTCAGCCTCTAACAGAAATGAGTACCAGGAATCTTTCTGGGTGGTAAAGGGCGATCGGCACGTAAGGCTGCCAACCTCACCGCCATCTGTGAGCCGATTGTCTAGAAAATGTCAGAGCCTCGACGTCTCGCAGCCCTATGGGCCTTCATGGCCTGTTACAGGGATAGCTTTACCTTACCTTTTTACATAAAATTCCGTTGTTGAGAAGCAACAGCAACACCGTTTTGAAGATGTGTTTAGTGATCCTAGTGTTGAGGGTTAGCAGAATCTGTAGGGGACGCCACACGCTCTCATATCCGGCTATGGAGACAATAAATGGAAATAACAGGACAACACATGTGTACTTCTTCTTCTTTACTGTGCTACATCTCTGTGTGGGGGATCTTGTCCTCCTCCATAGACTCTGGACGTTTCGTAACAGTAAATTTTTTCCGAGTTTGGTTCAGTCGCACTCCCAAACCCAACCTAAAGGACCGGGAACCACACTACCCTTTGACCTGTGTGGAATGAGTGGCTCTACCAGTAGTTTACACTCCCGCTAGCATAGCTCTGCGGGTCATTAGGGTGCGCAAACCTGCTCTCCACGTTAAGGTGGACGTTCTCGAAGAGTAACACGTGTACTAGGGACCACAACGCGTCTTATGTATGTTAAAATGTGTAATTTAATTAATTGTTTATAATTAAGAGAATACAAATGTTTTGATTGTTTTGTACGGATGTGAGACTTGGTACCTCACATTAAGTCAGGAACATGTTTTGGGAGTATCCGATCAGAATGTTTGGGCTTAAGAGGAAGGAAAACGTATCCGGCGAGTTGCCCAATGACGGGCTTCACAATTTTGGGGCCTATTTGAAATTCAATCAGCTAAATGACATGCAAGATAGGAAAACATGCACCTTTCCGGATGATGTCTGAAACACGACAGAATAAAAACTTGGTAAAAGAATACATATTAAGTAAAGGTAAAGTTGTCCCTGTGCTTAACTCATTAAGCACTACGCCATGAAAACGTATGGGGAGTGGATGTATAGATCCACTTTTTCATGACCTCGACAATAGTTGGTGAGTGGTCAGCTTCACGCACCGGCCCCGTTTCCCCCGGGAAGGGGCCCCCGGTACCCATTGTATAAGACGTTGGGTTGACCCCAGAGCCGTCCTGGACGCTGTGGAGAAGTGAAAATTCTTGACCTTACCCGGACTCGAACCCCGACCCGCCTGTCGTCCAGCCAGTAGCCAGTCGCTACTGGCTTTACCCCCTTGGAAGAATCCTGGTACTCATTTCTGTTAGAGGCTGAGTCGACCACAAGGCCATAGTGCGGCTGGAAGGACTAGGTCAATTGAAAAATCCGATGGACTCATTGTGAGTCGAACCCACGACCTTCCGGCTTGTGGTATAGTGCCTAAATCAACTGCGCTAGCGCACACGAATCCAGTTCACAGCATAAACAATTTGCGCAGTGTGTTCGGTTATGTTGCCATAACATTTCGGGTTCATTATTGTTTTATTGAAATCTTTAGTAATCCGAATTTAGATGGAAACAGTAAACTTCAGGGACAAACGTGCCTTATCGTTGCTTCGTCCCAGCTCTGCAATTCAGTGCGCTAGACTGTGCAGTTCATGAGCCTTTCGCGTCCTCAGCCCACTGTTACGCGGACAAGAAGGAAAACAAAGCTGCAAGGAAAGAAGAAGGGGAGAAGCGGAGAGATAAAATAATGGGAAGGATAGAGAAGAAAAAGAATGTGACAATGAAGAAGAAAGGTAAATCTTGAGAAGGAGAAGATGCAGGAGTAGAAATGGAGGAGCTGAAAACTAAGCAGCAAAGTGTGAGCGGTGAAGACGGAAAAAGAAAATGGAAAGGGAACGGATAAAGTGGAGGAGGAAATGAAGGAGAAGAAAATGGAAACTGAAATACAAGTGGAGAAGAATCAGAAATCGAAGATTTTAAGGATTTAACATAGTTTCTAGTGCTGCAGTGTTCAGAAAATTATCTAACTCTATGGAGCTGAGTCTTTTTTTGGAAGCTGCCAGTCGCTCAGCCACTCATGAATTTCCCAACATATTTCGGAACCCGAAGGTTCATTGCTGTGTTCACAAGAACCGGCCACTGGTCCCTATCCTGAGCCAGATCAATCCATGTGGAAAAGTATCGCTCTGCTGAACACGTATCGACCTCTTCCAAGGAATTTTGGGTCTGAATGGGACGTAGGCCGTTCTCTGGTGGTTTGCCCCGGTATTTCGGACTGAGATGCCCCCAACGCCCATAAAACAGGTGTTGAAGTACGTTAATAGAACTGAGAGCTCATTCAGTCCTGTTTTGTCACCTCGCTGGCTCACGGTGCTCCCTCCCCTTTAAGTTATCACGATAGTTTTATGTTTATTTATATCCCTTACAAACTGATCATTTTGATAATATGTGTTTTTAATCTTAACTTCTTTTGTCACATTTATAATTTAGTATTTTCAAAAATATATCACCAGTCTTGCATTCATCGAATTTTTGTTATTGTCTGAATGACACGAGTTGCCTTGTTTTGTCTTTTGTTTCCTTCTCTGCATCTGTCTATCTATCTATGTATCTGTCTTTTTCTTTCTCTGTCTGTCTATCTATCTGTCTGTCTTTCTCTCTCTCTGTCTACCTACCCACCTACCTACGTATCTGTCTATCTATCCGTCTATCTATCTATCTATCTATCTATCTATCTATCTATCTATCTATCTATCTATCTATCTATGTGTCTGTCTTGTTCTTTCTCTGTCTGTCTATCTATCTTCTGTCTTTCTCTCTCTCTCTCTGTCTACCTACCCACCTACCTACGTATCTGTCTATCTATCCGTCTCTCTTTCTCTCTCTCTGTCTATCTACCTACCTACCCGCCTACCTACGTATCTGTCTATCTGTCCACGTAGGTAAGTCAATAAGTAAGTTACAAATGGATATAGAACTTAAACAAATAAGAGTAATGATTTGAAAAATGCTTTTATTTCTCAGCATAATCTCCCTGTACATTGAGGCCCTTGTCCCATCGTTTCACAAGCCCCTGAAAACCAGCAGCATAAAATTCTTTGGGCTGCTGTCGGAACCAGGCGGTGACTTCCCTTTCTACAACTCCATCTTTGGGAAAATGAAAATGTTCAGCTGGTGGTGATGTTGAACCCAAGACTCATTACCTGTGACAATTCGGGCTAGCATATCGTGTCCTTCATCGTGGTAGCGATTGAGATGCTGTAATGCCAGACCCATTCTTTGCATTTTGTGTTGTGGGGTCAGCATGCGCGGCATCCATTGTACACAGACAAATGAGACGCTGCGAAATTTTAACTGGGAAGTCCAAGCAACTTCCATTTGTTCGGCCCTCTTAAACATCATCTTTCGGCTGAACATTTTCCCGACGATGAAGCTGTAGAACGGGAAGTCGCCGCCTGTTTCCGACAGCAGCCCACAAAATTCTATGCTGCTGGTTTTCAGGGGCTTGTGAAATGATGGGACAACTGCCTCAATGTACAGGGAGATTATGTTGAGAAATAAAAGCATTTTTCAAATCAGTACTCTCATTTGTTTAAGTTCTATATCCATTTGTAACTTACTTATTGACTTACCCTCGTATACCTCCAATACATCTCAGTGCATGGGGAAACCCACCCTCTCCAATAACTAACTAACTAACTAACTACCCTCGTATATATACCCTCTATATATCTATCTATATGTCTGTCTATCTATATATCTATCTATATGTCTATCTATATAGCTATCTATATGTCTGTCTTTATTTCTCTCTCTGTCTATCTATCTATCTGTGACTCTACAGCCCTCTGTTGTTCCTTGGCTGCTTTTACAGTTTCTTGATCTTCCTACAGAGTCTGTACGACTCCTTGGACGGGGGATCAGCCCGTCGCAAGGCCGCTACCTACACACAGGACAACACAAACACAGAATAGACACACAGATATCCATGCCTCGAGTGGGATTTGAACCCACCATCCCAATGTTTGAGCGGACGAAGACAGTTCACGCCTTAGACCGCGCGGCCACTGTGTCCGGCTTATTTGCCTTTTGGTTACTTTATAGTTGGCCTTTGGGCCGCTATGTAAGCACATAGATAAATGAATTGAACAATACTGTTACTCTGTGAGTACTTATTGTGACGCACAATACAGAGCATTGCGAATAAGGCCGCTGTGACAAACTGTAAGAAATGTAACATGAACTTAAAAAGGAATATTGAAGGTTAGTGGCGATGCTGTATACACGTATTATTTGACTGAAATTTTTTGATTTATGCTTCGATACAGCTCTTTAAAACCACGACATTTCGGAAACCGGTTCTACTTCCTTCATCAGGTGACTTCACATAAAGTAAGGAATCCTGCTTCGCCAGGCCCCTTGGCAGAGCTAGTCTCAAACCCGGAACCTTGTCTAGTAACCTGAGGATGAAAACAGAACCAGTTCCTGGCTTGACAGAACTGGGGCAATGGACAGCGTCCAAAATATCGGTCAGCATAAACATGAATTAAATTCATGAATGCACATGTTACCAACTTTACCGTAATGCTAGCGGTCGTCTGAAATGCGGCACCATGTAATCCGTTTCGGAATAACTTACTGCCTCCAACTTCGGGACAGATTAAGTCGAAACACTGTAATGCTTTACAATTTTATTCGAAAAATCCTCGATTCGAAATTCCGTCGAGATACCGGCTGTCGTAAACGAGGTTTTTCATTAAGAATGCCGTTTTCTTGGATGTGAGACCGTGTAGATATTGTGTAAACCGACGTTTCGGAGGAACTTATCGCCTCTATCTTCAGGGTATAGAAATCCGCGAGCGAGGAACCAGCTTGAGCAGGTGGCTCCAGACTGAGCTGACGCTGGTTCCTCGCTCGCGGATTTCTCTACCATGAAGATATAGACCATACGTACCTCCGAAACGTCGGTTTGAACAATATCTACACTGCACCACATCCCAGAAGACGGCATTGTTCATAGTCACCGCCGTGAAAACCTCAAATCATACGAGGTTTTTCATCATTTCCTTTTTTTTCCCTCCAAGTAAATTACAGGGTAAGATTTAAACTAGGCCACCGCCACTTCCTTATGAATTCTGTCCAATTCATCTATGAGCTTAGTATCCGAGGCAGGAAAAGCATTGTAAAACAGCACAGCAATAGGCGCAGAGTCGAAATGTGGGTGTATATCTACCAAGTTACACGGTCTCATATCTAACAAGGTCATCATCCTTATACACACTGCCATGAGAGCTTCAGAGCTCATACTTACCTGCACAATTGTGAGAAGTATTTCAGTATGCCACCATGGGGAAAATTGTGGGAAAGATCTTATTAATTAGCATGGTTCTGCTTATGGAGCAGTTGCCCTACCGAGAAGTGTAGTCCTAACCATAACGTAACATGCTGTGAAGGTTATCTTGTGATAGTTCGCCCTCTGTTTTTTTTAATTTGTTAGGGGGTGGTGGAGTCCAGCTGGGTCCACTCGGCATTTCGGCCATTGATTGGCCTATTGTAGCCTGCCCCGGGTAATTATGATGATGGAGAATTTGGTAGAATGAAGATTGGCAGGGGAAACCGAAGTACTCCGAGAAAACCTGCCCTAGCGTCACTTTGTCCACCACAAATTCCACTTGACCAGACCCAGGATCGAACCTGGGCCGCCACGGTGGGAAGCCAGCGACTAACCGCTTGAGCTATGGCGCGGCCTTCCCCCTCTGTTACGAGATAAGATGGCTCAGTCGGTACAGCGACGGGATGGATGGCCGAGGGTTCAATTCCCGGCAAGGCTAAGAAATTTCTCTTTACTCCACAACAGGGGCACACGAATGAGGCACTATGCTACAAGCCGGAGGGTCGCGGGTATATTCCCAATGGGGTCATTAGATTTTTCAATTGATTAATCATTCCAGCCGCACTATGGCACTGGAGTCGACTCAGCCTCTAACAAAAATGAGTACCAGGAATTTTCCTGGGGGTAAATGGCGGCCGGCGTTTAAGGCTGACAACCTCACCGCCATCTGTGAGCCGGTTGTCTAGAAAATGTGGGAACCTCAACATCTCACAACCCTATTAGCCTCCACGGCCTGTTACAGAGGTAGCTTTACCTTTTTACTCCACAGCGTCCAGACCGGCTCTGGGCCCACCCAAACGGGTACCGGGGATAGAACGGCAGGAGCGCGAAGCTGGTGGAGCTGTGCTTCCGCTTCCCCATATGTTTTCATGGAATGATGCTTAATTAATTAAGCACGAGGAAATGTTTACCTTTTTACCTTTGCAATATAAGTTACAGTGTAGACCAGCGTTTCTCAAACTGTGGGACTGGTAACACAGCAGCGTGTCAGAGGTACCGTGCATCTTCGTTCGCTCCTTTCAGCTTTCGCGTTGCAAAATGTTATGCCCTCTACTACTCTCCTTTCCAGTCGACTCAAAATTATACTTCTGCTTGTCAGATATGAAACTGATCATTGTTCATTTATATTACAAGAATTTCAAAATTTTAGGCTGTGGATTTTCCATTCCCCCCTCTCCATGTGGGGGTCAGTATATTTAACCCTTTTAGGGGTACCAAGCAAAATAGTTTGAGAACCGTTGATATTTTAACATTAGCTTTACATTTAAATCGACATTTTTAAACACTTTCGAAATATTCATACCTGACTGAATGTCATCTGAATTATTTTGATCCAGTTGTTCAGCAGCTTCTAGCTCCAGCTGTCTTGCCCTTGCGAAACTCTCTTCATCAAACAATTTAACTGTAATCGAATGAGAATTCAGATATTGTCCGACTTTTCGTATAAGGAAAGCGTCCAGACGGGAGTCCACATCATTAGGATAGTCCCTAGCAAGGGACGCGACGAGATCCACAGGGAACTTCCTGCTTGTTGCTGATTCTTCATCGTCACTTCCGTTTTCAGCACTAGAATTGTCCCTAACAACAATGACACCCGGCAACAATTGATATTTATCTGTTTCGGAAAGGCGATCGACCAGTGACACGACGTCTAGTTTCAGGCACGTCAGCGTGTAACGATGGGCACACCCTTTCGACATAACCTTCTTCATGATGTCGCCAGCTGACAGCGGTATATGGTTCCTAGTTCCTTCAAAGGATCTCCATGAACTTCCGGACGACTCACTTTTTTCCGTCAACGGCGGTGAAGAAGTCGTCGGGTTATAAAGAGGAGTAGCTGTTTCTACTTTAACATCCGACGTGGAAGGAACGAGAATCTCGCATTTCACGCGAACAAACTGATGATGGACGACGAATAGCCATATTATTAAAGACGCGACACGTAAATCCATATTCGCACTTTGTCTAGATGACGTGTTAAGCGTATCAAACACTATGAACTTAACAGCCACTTCAAAGATTTGTTGATACAGAAACTTGTTTTTGTAATGTTATAACTTCAGCGCGACGTAATGTAGACTTCCATACCTGCCGCCGGTCTCACTTGTAGAAATTATGCACTCTTTCAGCTGACCATCCGCTTATATACCTCAAGTTTTGCGCTCCGTCACAAACGCAAAAGAAAATAATTCAAAACCAGTACTTTCAGAAAATGTGGGCCGCTTAGATATACTTATATTAAAGGTCTGTAAGATCTCAAGAAGAAGAATAAGAAGAAAAAAATGCATGTAACGGGATGGTGGGGGAGCGGAGGAGGGGTGGTTATTCAAGAGCACCTTGTTTCACTTGCTGCGGTACATTGATTGTTGTTGGTAGCCATCTGGTGACGAGTGCAACAATTTTTGCTCTGTTTTGCCATTGGACGGCGTGTCGCAACACCGTTCATCTGCAAAGTGTTTTCAGATGGGCTTTAGTGGAGCATGACTTAGTTAAGTCCAGCAGCAGCAAATTGAGACGGGAAATAAGAAAAATTAAATGAAAATAAGTTTATAGAATGTGAGTGTAACAAAAGTCAAAAGTGAAGGGAAGGGGTGAGATGTTTCGCGGTCAATAAGCAATATCACGTTGAGCGCAAGACAGAAACAACTGTTCGTAGCATCCGAAACCACTGGCCCGACGAACAAGAAGCCAACTGCAACCGAACGTATACAGAGATCAGAAAACCAAGTCTCGTAGTCGGAGATGCTATTGGATTTGTGGGCCCACATAATGTACGAAAGATCAGAAAGATATAGGTAAAATTATATTTACTGATAGCTAAACTGAAACTGCGTGAATTTTATATGTCTGCACTCCTGACTCATATATGCTGAAGTAAGACTATATATGTCTCCTGGGTTATGCTGTGTTGAAGCCTGTTACAGTGGCCGCGCGGTCTAAGGCATTAACTGTGTCTGCTCGCTCGAACACTGGGGTCGTAGATTCGAATCCCACTCCAAGCATGCATGTCTGTATGCCTTTATTCCGTGTTGTTCTGTGTGTAGGTAGCGGCCTTGCGACAGGCTGATCCCCGTCCTAGGAGTCCTACCGAATGTGTATAGTATTAAGAAACTGAAAAAGCGGCCAAGGTCCACAAGGGCTGTAGAGCAATAGATCGATAGACAGTAGGTAGGTGGGTAGATAGATAGATAGATAGATAGATAGATAGATAGATAGATAGATAGATAGATAGATAGATAGATAGATAGATAGATAGATAGATAGTGTGTTTAAAACATCTTTCAATTTGCGTCATGATCAGATGGTGACGTAGACCATTACGTCATTATTGGGAAGTTAACTATGACGGCGATTTCATTGGACACGCAGGACGTTTCTTCCATAATGTTGCCTGCTTAAGGTATGGCGTATCTTCAAATATATTTTCGGCAAACAATATTGTGGTTTTGAGGTTTTCACGGCGATGACTATGAAGAAAGTCGTCTTTTGGGATCTGGCGCCGTGTATTCTTTGTTTCAGCCGACGTGCACTCTGCATTCGCAAGCCAATTCACCTGTCCTGAAGATGGAGGCGATACGTTCCTCCGAAACGTTGGCTGAAACAAAGACTACACGGCGCCAGATCCCAAAAGACGACTTTCTTCAATATTGTGGTTGTTTGGGGGGGCTGCGTCAACACAACAAATTTTCAAAGAAACCAATTGAATATCGCTGTGCTAACATTGTTTTTAAAGGGTTCTGACGATGCTGTATAACACTCAGAATCACTGGGGTTTTTAAGTTTGTCCATCATCCGGTATTCTAGAGACTAGAAAAAAAAAGTTTCGGGAACTGGAAGTGTTTCCGTCCTCAGGTGAGGGGAGAAGGCATCTTCTTTGTTGGGTCCCTTAGAACAGATCCAGTTTCCGAAACGTTGTAGTTTATATTTTCCAGAATACCGAGCGATGGGCAACGTCCAAAGACCCAGTAATTCTGAGCATTTTTTTAGCGTCTGCTGCATGTTTTGATCATCATCATCAGTCAGTTGTTATCGAATTGTCCTAATATGGATCCAAATTAGTGTTATTTTAAAAATCCGTCGATTTATATATCTCGTTTTTAAGTATTTTGCTGTCTTGACGGTCAGAAATGAAACACATCGTGACACGCAGCAGGCTGCAGACAGTAGAGACCAATATTATACCTTCTGCTTTTAAGAACAGAATATTTGTGTATTTGCCGGAGTACAACATGAATTATTATTAAAGAAACATGCCTCGTACAATAGCCCGGCTTCTTCAGCAAAGGTTATCCAACGAATTGGTCCAGAGGTCTAGACTTGTATTCGGGATGTGCTCGGTTCATATCTCTGCCAGATATTGCCTATATGAGTGAGGTCCTTCCAGACAAATATTGGGATAGTACCTCGATCAGGCCACGAATTTGTCCTTCCACATACTTGCCAATTCATCATTCATCTGTGATCCTGCCAGCTGACAAAGTTTTGATGGTGGGAGCATCGGTAAATGGCACATGAATAATATTAACACGTAGTCCTCGGAGCTACAGTAGAGTGACTCGTGCAGTAGTGACAGATAGATGGGAAAGAATTGTCAAATCCAACTTGCAGACATAATCAGAGTGCGCCCAGTTTGCTCTTGTATGGACTTGGTCTATGAATTCATTTATCTCTGTAAACGTGGATGGTGAGAGCATCATCAGCAGGAGAACTGAGTTCGAGGGGCTCGAGGAGTTCGCCACAAGCCAGTACTTCGAGGAAATGTTCAGCAAAATGTATTGCATTTCGATATCTCAAACAATATGTGTAATGCCAGCAAAAACAATTGGCAAATAATATTTTCTGACCAAATGCTGACGGCAGACCGTGACTTCCCCCACTCCTCGCCACAGTGCGCCTACAGGACTCAGCCGGACTACACGAGCAGACACAATAGCTATTATAAGTGATTAACAAGAGTATCTATCAGGTAAAATGTAAAGCTACCATTGTAAGAGACCGTGGAGGCCCATAGGGTTGTGAAACGTCGAGGCTTCCACATTTTCTAGAAAATCAGCTCACAGATGGCTGTGAGGTTGTCAGCCTTAGCGCCGGACGCCCTTCACCCCCAGGATGATTCCTGATACTCATTTCTGTTAGAGGCTGAGTCTATCCCAAGGCCATAGTGCGGCTGGAAGGATTAGGTAAATTAAAAAAAAAAAGAATCCACCTCATCGGGAACGGGACCCGTTCAGAATTTTAACATGTTAGAAGCCAGCTGCCTTAAATGGAGATTATGTTACGTAAATTGCGAGTATTGCGGTCTGGAGAAATGTTGTGAAAGTGCTGACAGTTAATAGAATACGGAGTTTGTTTGAAAATCACAGCGTTATATCCCAGAAGACAGAACTCTTCAGTAAATCCTCAGACTTTTTTTAAACTCTAAGATACATGAAAATTAGCGACTTTATAGGATGTGACATCGTTAAATTTGGTAGATAACCAGCAGCGTTTCTGAGGAACTTTCTTCCTCCCTTTTTAGGATAGAAGATTTGTTATTGTTTTTCGTAAAATCTTGTTCCATCCCTAATAATTTCAAAGTATCCACATCAAAATGATATTTTACCCTTTAAATTACAGCGGTTACTATATGTACCACCTGCTTTAACACACTAAAACTCTGCATTCTGCCCACAGTGTGTATTTATGTGTTCCTTAAGGTTCTCAAAGTAAACAGCGTTTTTTCCCTAAACAACATTAACTGGTTGGACTTTGTAGCGGAGACGTAAAGTGTTCCCTCTGAGGTACGGACTGAATTCTTATATATTATTTGAAAAAATCTCCGGTTGTGATCCTCGAGGGTTTCGGTGCCGTGAAGAACTGACTCTGAGTCACTCTTTAAAGGGTTAAAAGCGACTGCTGTTTGCAGTCTAACGTTTGGTAGCCGCCAGTTCGGAATATAACTGGCGTAGTGTTTGACTTAATTCTTTCTTTTGCATGTCTTGTGTTTTAGACCATTTTTGTTCTTCGCAGTTTGCATGTTTTTTTTCGGCGCTTTGTGGAACGGTCAGTGCGTCATTGGCGAGACTGGAGCAGATCATTAAGAAGACTTGATTTAGTTGCTAAATTAATATGGGGCCACAACAAGTTTCTCCCATCGTCCACTTAGAACACGGAACTCTGCGGTGGGGGAAACGTCACGGTCAGCAGTTCCTACAGCAGCAGTTGTACCATACGAAAGCTGTGCGTGTTCTTGCATTCGATCCTGCCCTGCGACTCTAATTCTGAGGATGCCATGTTTACCATTTCAATGTTAAGCATGAGTCTCAGTTTTTGAGGTGATAACTGCGCCGACAATGAAGAATGATGTCTTCTGGAATGTGACTAAGTGTCTCTGGTAGAAGTTCATTGACGTTACAGAGGAAAATATTGCCTCCGTCTTCAGGATAGAAGAAACAGTTATTGGGGAAACTTAGATTCCCAGTTTTGACGTTCAAAATGGCATTCAATTAGGATATTTATTGGAATAAATGTACTTTGTACATTAAAATCGAAGCTTTATCGAAACATTTCTATATGTACAGTACATTATTTATTTAAACTACCCAAAGCGTTTAGTTTATAGTTACGTCAGTGAGAGTTGAGGAACTTGCTGATTGGTTATGCTCAATATAGGTCTATGATAGCTAAGTACGAAACGCAGTTCATGCAGGATAAATTGTCCACTTTTCGTCCA